CCGCAGTCTCCTCCATGTCGACGCTCATCACATCAACCTCCTCGGAGTAAGATAGATGAAGCATCTGGCCCTCTCTCCATGGGGAAGAAACTGCGGGGCGAACTTCCGATCCCTGAGAGGGGGCCGTGGATCTAGCAGGGTGAGGACCGAGATAAGGACGAGCCCGTCTCGGATCCCTCCGCTAAATCCACTTGCGATCCCCACGATAACAGCCGCTGCTGTGCCTCAACAACAGCGGGGCCGGACCCAGCAGGATCACCTGGCCTCTTTCATCAAAGACTTCCAGGCAGGAGCAGAGCACACGGAGCGGAAGAATCTCACAATCAGGGCAGGCTGAACCCCGAAGGCTGCCTGTGCATGCTTCGCTCCCCAAACAGACGATGCACAAATTGACACGACTTGAAATGCCGTCCGCTCGCCACAGATTTTGATTTACACTTAGGCATTTTGAACTCGCTTTCTATACAAAGATTCTCCTGACTGACTGAGTGCTTTTGCTTACACACACATACACACACACCAATAATCGCTGAAGAGCAAGAAGCTAACATGTGCGCTTGCCGGATGCGCCTTTATGCTTCTGGTTGCTCACGTCACTTCGCTTGTGACGTCTCGCTTCTCTATTGGACTGAGTTCACACATGCTTCAGAACGTGGCCTCGCCGGGGGCATTCCCAAAGCGTTCGACGCAGCTCGAGTTCCTGAAGGGGAACCATATTTCATCACATTAATGTGATCTGAATGGTATTTTCTTTTACCTTGTGTAGTTTTGTTCATACTTTTCAAGCATGAGGACATACAGTGCAATGAAAAGTTTTGTGCCCCCTTCCTGTTTTTTATTTAAAAACTGCATTTTGTATTTACTCGGGTTATCTTTGTGTAATATTAAAATCAGTTGGATGATCTGAATCTTTTAAAGGGGTCATAGGATGCGAATTCAATTTTTCCTTCCTCTTTGGAGTGTTCATAAATACAAAATGCAGTTTTTAAATGATGATTTTATTTATTAAGGGAAAAAAACTGTCGAAACCTACCTGGCCCTATGTGAAAAATTAATTGCCCCCATCATGTTAAATCATGAAAGAACTGTGATTAACCACATTATTTTAGTTAGCCACGCCCAGGCCTGATTACTGCCAGACCTGTTGAATCAAGAAATCACTTAAATATAACCTGTCTGACAAAGTTAAGCATGCTTAAAGAGCAACACATCATGCCGCGATCTAAAGAAATTCAAGAACAGATGAGAAACAAAATAGTTGGTATGTATCAGTTTGGAAAGGGTTATAAAGCCATTTCTAAGGCTTTGGAACTCCAGCGAACCATGGTCAGAGACATTATTTACAAATGGAGAAAACTTGGAACATTGGTGAACCTTCCCAGGAGTGGCCGGCCTACCAAAATTACTCCAAGGGCACAACGACGACTCCAGGAGGTCATAAAAGAACCTAGAACAACATCTAAAGAACTGCAGGCCTCACTTGCCTCAATTAAGGTCAGTGTTCATGATTCAACAATAAGAAAGAGACCGGGCAAAAACAGCATCCATGGGAGAGTTCCAAGGCAAAAGCCATTGCTGACCAAAAAGAACACAAAGACTTGTCTCACATTTGCCAAAAAATATCTTGATTATCCCCAAGACTTTTGACCAAATATTCTGTGGACTGATGAGACAAAAGTTTAGGGTGACCATACGTCCTCTTTTCCCCGGACATGTCCTCTTTTTGGACCTACAAAAATGCTTCCGGGCGGGGTTTCTTAATTGCCCAAAATGTCCGGGATTCGGCTGTTTTCTTAATCCCGCTCCCGCTGAATCTCTGACCATTGCCGCCTGCTCCCACAACATCTTTCGCTCCCGCGATTTTCGTGTCCAATCGTTTAAACATTCTAATATTGTGTATAATTTTGGCGCATCAGGGAGCCGCTCTCAGGATGCGGTGTATTTAAATATTTTTGAATGAGCATTTGCGCTGTTTATTTTCACTTTCGATTTCGCGATGACGCACTCTGTGTAAAGGGAGCACATCTTACAAGATACTCAAGCATGGTCTTGTCAGTCATCTCTCCTTATTCTCGACCTGTGATCAGTCAAAGCTGACTCCGGTAGCTCTTGTTGGATGCAGGGTTGCCAAGTCCGCGTTTTACGGGGAAGAACACTCGGGGGGAGCGCTCTGGGTCCGGGCTTAGACCCGAGCTTGGACCCCTCTCCCCAGACAGGGGGAGTACCCCGGGCTCGAGGGTAATTACAGAGCTCGGAGCCCTCTCCCCGGACAGCACGCCAAATACGCATAACCTTTACTCTGTTCATTATAATTAAGTGTGAACTCGTGAATTGCTGCTAATGGTGTTCATCGTCTGTTTGAATACGTCTTTAATTGATTTTTCCGTACATTTCTGCCATATGTTTATTAACTGAGAGTCACCACTGGTAAGCTACTACTAAATATTGTAGAAACGTAATTTTCTGTAAAGTTGCTTTGCATCGTGAAAAGCGCTATACAAATAAACTTGAATTGAATAAGTGTGACAAATATGCAAAAAATAAAAAAATAAAAACAGGAAGGGGGCAAAAATCTTTTCACGGCACTGTACCATGCAACATGTCCATATTGGCATTGGCAAGATTTGTCAAGCTTTTAGACAAAGTCACAGATGAATTTGCACCAAAATACAGTTTGCACCAGTCTTTCTTCTCCTGATTATATCAATATAGACTCATTGAACCTTTACCTCTACTGAAACTCCACAAAAATACTTGAGTAGATATATAAATAAATATATATACAATTCATTGCAGTTTCCAGCTTTGCAACTTTTCTACCAGTTTTCAAACAGATTATGACTACAGGAGTAGTCAATCGATTAAAATACCTAATTTTCACGTGTTTCCTTGCACAATACTATGACCTCAGAGTGCTTTTACCATAGCACATGATTTGTAAACTAATACATTTTGATATTTGCATCTCATAATCTCTATATGTATGGCTTTTCTAATGTAAACTTGCTCGGTAGCTCACCTGGTACACCATTACAGTTGCAATGAGGAGCACCTATATACAAGTCCCATTGAACATGAAAGAGAAAAGACTTGTAGAAACAAGCTAAAATACAATGATTGCTTCAGCCAATGCATTTTTATCTCACATTTGCTTTTACTGACACTATCTGTTAGGATTTAGTGTAGTTATTTTCAAATGCAAAAGAGCATTAACCTTTCCAGCCACTAAATGAGTGTTTCATTGGTAAACTGCCACAATACGTACAACAACCAACTTAATAAAATGTTGCTAGATTCACCTTAATCTGTTTTTAAACTGAATGCATTTTAGGGCCACTCACAAAACATTTGAATTTGAAAATGTCATGAAACATGCATGACGCAATGTAATTATCACCAGAAATGTTGCCCCAGGCATGATTTTCCAATGAGCCTTGGTTGGATAATATGGTTAATTGCATGTTGTCATTTGCATTTAGCAATGTTTTTTGCTGCTGGCCATGACTCAATCAGAAAAGGCCTTCGGCCCATTTTTTGGGATCACGACCCACCTGCTGAGAACCACTGTATTACAAGACCAGGCACAATTTTATCTTCAGGAGCTACACAATGCCTAACAGAACCTTCCAAAGGCCTGTGTCCTCTCGGGATGTTGTTCAGTTTGCCGTAATGGTTAATTTGTGAGTTCCCACAGCTCAGAGCATGGCTGCCGGTGAAGCATCTTTCTAATTTACTCATCGCTTCAGGGTCACTACAGGATTAGTTTCAATCATTAATGTAACCCGGTCATTTGATTTATTCAGAAAAAGTTTAATTAATGCCGAGATTAGAATTACTCATCCGAAGTGTTTTGGTCACTATGATTGTCTCACACAGGCACTGGACCGAACCTTCCAAAGGCCTGTGTCCTCTCGGGATGTTGTTCAGTTTGCCGTAATGGTTAATTTGTGAGTTCCCACAGCTCAGAGCATGGCTGCCGGTGAAGCATCTTTCTAATTTACTCATCGCTTCAGGGTCACTACAGGATTAGTTTCAATCATTAATGTAACCCGGTCATTTGATTTATTCAGAAAAAGTTTAATTAATGCCGAGATTAGAATTACTCATCCAAAGTGTTTTGGGCCTAATGATTGTCTCACGCAGGCACTGGACCCCGATCTGGATGCGAACATCACGTACCGTATCAGGACTGAGGAGGCCAGAGAGCTGTTTGCAGTGAATCCTCTCACTGGAGAGCTGAGGGTGCTTCACTCACTTGATTTCGAGAAACTCTTACCAAATGGGACAACATGGAACTTTGTGGTAGAGGCTGTGGATGGCGGAAGTGGCAAAATGCCACCGGGGTTGGCCTCTGTTACCGTCACTGTGTTGGTAAGGGAGTCTCAATTATGTTCCTCAATTCCTTGACTAATCTATCTGTACCCTACCAAACCCCATAAAATCAAGTCTTTTCAGTCGACTGCCTTCTTGGTAACACCCCCGGGCAGCTATTATGTACTAACTCGGCCAGCATGGAGATTCCTACTGGTCTAATCTGGACTTTTTAGCAGGGGATATCCCGAAACTGTTGGCATCCTGTGATTTCTCGGTAGCCGCTCTTAAGCCCTGTGGACACTGACAGCTAGATACTGTATTATGTCTGAAATGGTCATTAGGTCCACAAGACCTCAGCTGTGTAACCAGCTGATTTGTAAGGTCTCAGAAGATTAAATTCCACACACTTGATGAATGTCAATTAGCTCCCGCTGGAAATGCTGCTGTTGGTTAAGTGGGAAAAAGAAATCATTGCGGAGGTACAGTATATCTGTGGTCAAGGTCACTGTGACCATTTTCCAATGAAATGCTACTGTTGTTTGTTTGGGGGACCTGCGAACCATTTCTTAGAATGGAGAATTGAACCAAGACATAACTGAATTCATACATTACCTGCCCACAAACAAATATGGGTGACTATTTTTGTCTTTTATGTAGTTTTGAGAACAAATGTGAACATTCAAAGTAATTTAATGTATTTATGCTATCATAAATGTGGCATCACATTTACGATTGTTCAACAAATTTTCACAGGGGGAATCCATGAGATTGGGAATTTCATGCAAGGTTGTAAGGTGTTTGGTTTCAGAATTGGTTAAATGAAAACTAATTTTGGTTTCAGTAAAAAAAATAGATTTGTGTGCATGACTAAATGTATAATAATCAGTGTTGGGCAAGTTACTCTGAAAATGTCATTAAATTACTGATTACTCCTTTTAAAAGTAATCACGTTACTTTTCTGATTACTTTATTTCAAAAGTAATTTGTTACATTACTAGTTACATTACTTTTTTCTGTGGCTACATCCATGAAATTTACATGAAATCCCAGCATAAATGCTCCCGATAAATATTTGTTATTAAAGCATCAACATTCACAAAACACTGTTATTTTTAACTAAAGCAAGCATAGGCTGCTGCGTACATGGTTTGGCATGGCAGAATGCCAGCAAATAGCGCTGCTTTTATAATCTCTAAAAAGATGACATCTCAGTTCATCGCAATCTCACAAAGCTCTGTTATAACACAATGAATATATGCATAATGAATCTTTCATAATGTCTACAATTTGTGTGTTAAAATGAGAGGATTCATGAGCACGCAAATTTCAGCACTGCACTCCTGACTGGCCATTGCGTTCCAGAAATCAACATTGTTCAATGCAGCTAACACGTGTTATAGCCTAAATAGAAACTCTGCCTACGCTTGCGCCTGTTAATCGTTTTTATTTTATATTAGTTCTTGTTGCTTTTGTGCAATAGATGAATAACAATTTATTTGTTTTAGATATTTTTTGTTTAGATTTTTCTATTTTGCAGGACACACACGAGTGTCTACCTGCCCGCTTCAGCACTCGCACACACATTACTAAGTAATGCGTTACTGCCCAACACTGATAATAATATATAGCTATCGATTCACACATGATATTAGTAAAAATAAATAAATAGAAAGTAAGCTAAAGCTTTTTTTTTTTTTTTTGGTCACAATCTGTTGCAAATACAGCATTACAGTAAAGGTACCTGATGCAAATAATCAAATGTGCTCTCCTTAAAGGAATAGTTCACCCAAAAATGAAAATTCCGTCATCGTTTACTGACCCTCAAGTTGTTTCAACCCTGTATAAGTTTATTTCTTCTGTTGAACACAAAAGAAGATATTTTGAAGGGAAAAAAAAAAGTTGATGGCCATTGACTTCCATAGTATTTTTCCATACTGTGGAAGTCAATGGGGGACCATCAACTGTTTGCTTGTTTGTATTCACATCCATATTCTTCAAAATATCTTCTTTTGAGTTCAATAGAAGAAGAAAAAAGAAACTCATACAGGTTTGGAATAACTTGAAGGTGAGTAAATGATGACATAATTTTCACTTTTAGGTGAACTATCTCTTTAATTGTCATCTCTCTCCTATATCACATTGTAGATCTGATTCATTTTGGTGAATGGAAGTGAAATGTATAGTTTGTTAATCACAGTGTTTAACTAAGTTATATAAATTGTTATAAATAGTTTTATTAGTTGCATTTAGTGTAAAAACACTGTTCAAACACAGTCACCCTATTTGAGTTCCTTTATGTGCCAGATAAATATGGCTCTGATTGCTAAATTAATGTTGTTTAGTTTTGCATTTAAAAAGATATTGCTTCAATGTAGTTAGCCACTTATTGTTGGGAAACTCTTATAGGTAACTACTTGTTTAAAAGGGTAAATTAACTAATTAAACTACATTATGAGAAGCTTATAGCTTTTAAAACCACAATTTCAAAGTAGCTTCCCTTATTCATCTGAATGTTATTTTCTTCTCTGGTCAAGCTTCGACAAGAGAGCCAGGGCACTGTTAGACATTTAACCGGTTGTTTAGGATTACATTTATTTTTATGTTTATTTCATTTACCAAACCGCCTGCAGTTTGATAGGTTTCAGCTTCAAAGAAGAAAAAAAAGAGTTTAAGCAAAAGCGTTTTCATGCAAGGAAACACACAGCTTATTACATCCTCTACAGTCTCCCAAGAAGCCCTAATTGTTTCTGTGTTGAGATTATGTATTCATTTTCCTTCTGTGCACGGTGTGGCTAATTGATAATTAGTTGCTGTGGAAAATGAAAAAGTGAACAGTGGAAATGAATGTGCTACCTGATGCATGGAGACTCGGGATATCAGAGTGATTATGATGGGATAGAGGCCCCAAGGCACCGTCCTGATGGAGAAATGGGACCTGATGGTCCCAGCGCGACCATCGTGAACTCACTACACTTTGCAGATTCACTTTAAGGCTTGACGGATTTTATTTTTCATCTGGGGAGGGAGAAGACACACAAAGATGTGTGGGACTGAAAAATAAGAGAAAAAAAAAAAACAATTTCACTCCAAAGCACTTTCCTCGGGACTTTTTATTTTGGGGATGTGAGCAATAGCAAAGTTTTATTAGTCAGTACTCGGGACTCAAGGACATCCTTGAATACGTGCATTCTCACAGGAAGGACAAAGGCTGGGGGATTGACAGGGGAGGGAGGTGTAATTTGGATACCTGAACCTGCCTGGCCTCTCCTTGGACTCGGAGCCGGCTGCTCTATTGAGTGTATTAGGTCGCATTGCGTCTCTTGTATCTCCCAGAATCACCTGTATCATCAGCATTCATGGGAGCCAACCGCAATTTTCCGCTTTGCTGTATCTTTCACATATATAACTTTGTAGAAAAAAAGTTAAGGTCCTGCGAAAAATTAGCACCCACTTTCAGCAACCTTGCATCCGGAAGTATCTCTACTGAGGTTTGAAAAATTACAGTAGAAAAACTTATAAACCATTGAAATACAATGGAAAAGTACAGCAGTGGAATGAAAAACTGCGTTCTGAGTGAATGACCCTACTATACTTAGCAAATACAGGTGGCAGAGTATTCAATAAAACAAAATTGCATAGCCACCAAATTCGAAATTCTGACATCCAGGAAATAAATATGTCTTGGGCAGCAATTTTACCACAAATACGGACAAGTGATACCACCACAACCACCAGAAATACTTAATTGTGTCTGCTTTACAATGAAACAAGCTTATTGCAACCGATTCCCTGACATAACACATTCATTGCGACCCATTTAACAGATGCATCATCTTAAGTTAGAACAACTTGAACAGCAACAAACAATAACAATACAGCGAAATAATCAACTAACTACGATCATGTAGCCCTCTATCAAACATTAAAAATTTATATCATCATACCTTTAGCTTACTCAGTAGTGCTGCATTCTTAGTTGAACTAAGAACCGCTTGCGCGGGAAGATTGTGTGTCAGATGTAACAATTAAAATGCTACTTTGTGAAACGGACTGTCCTAAATTGTTGCTATAGTAGCATCATATTAATGCTAGAAAGCCTATGCATCTGGCAGCTATATTTTTTTAATAAACCATTATATTTCATAAATTAAAATCTATTTTCACACTCATCTTGAGTGAGGGGGCATGATAGTCCGAGTGAGGGGTGACGCCCCCTTATGGTGATTACATAATTTGCAACATTTTATGGTAGTGGATGGTTGCTGTTGAGCTTTTTTGTAGTGATTAATTTCTAGAACAGTGACTTCTCTCATTGGTGGATAGCGGTTTAGAATTATGGGTAATGCAGTTCTTCATTGGAAATGTGCCATTAAACAATTTGAATGAAGTTGAAATCGCATTGAGAAGCATATATCACTTTTTAGCTATCCTGAAATATTGACAATATTAATGTGACTGCACCATTATGCTAAAATATGGTCAATATGTTTTGTTGTTGTTGTTTTTTGTTTATTTGTTTGTTTTTTTATTTAATAAAATTCATATTGCACTTTTCATAAATGCACAGACATCTCTGCAACCAAAATATTTAGCCAAAATAGCCACCAAAAAAAACAAAAAAAAAGAGTAATTTTTGGTAAAATTGTTTTGGTGGACTGAAATAATTGACAGAAACTTTTCTTTTTTTTCTTTTTTTTTTATAATTAGAAGCCCGGCCCTCCTAATGCATTCCTACCCATACCTGGAAATGTGGACATCACTACAAAGTTTTTGGAGACCAACAAGGGTCAGGCATCTTGCAGATTGCTTTAAAGGGTTTCACACAATCAGGGAATATATCTAAAATGTGGTTGAACGTACACATATTCCTTTCATCAAAATATGTTTATTTAATTACAGGATCTGCCGAACACCTGATTGAAGGAGATCTGGTGTTTCCCAAAACTAAAAATGCTCTCTACTGCTTAAACAACAACTGTTTCTGGAAGAGAAACTCTAGCAACCTATTTTTTTTTTTTTTTTTTTTTTTACTTATGAAGACATGGTTGTATCTATCTTGAAATGTTTATATGTCATTGTTAAAAGTGAATTTCCATATGGAGAAAATAAATCAAACTTTTTAGCTCCAGAAGCACTCTATTGCATTATATTAGCACCCTATTTTTAGCTTTGCCTCTTTATTCTCTCTAGTAACCTTTTCATCTGCCTTTAGCGCTCTCTCAGTGGCTATAATTATGTCTCACCCAACTTTTTCCCCAAAAAGTCCCCGGGCACCTAGCACTGTGACATCCTTAATGCACTACATGATCTACTATTGAATAAATGCCATTTTTGCTTAGTGTTTTAGTGTTGGAGGCTAGCTAATGGGGCCTGAGCTAGTGCACAGTCTGACAGTTACAGGCAGGCGAAGAGAGCAGGAGTCAAGGCACTAATCGGAGTTTGATGTTCTGTGTCTGGGCAGGACATGAACGACTTCCCACCAGTGTTCAGTCAAATGCTGTACCGGGGAATGGTGGCGCCCAATGCAATCAAGGGGACCATAGTGACCACTGTACACACTGAGGACCTGGACCCACCGGTGAGTTGGCTTGATTATGTGCGTTCTTTCATCCCTGAGATATTTCAATCAAGGAATTTTCAAAAAAATTTACTCACCCTTAGGCCATCCAAACACAGCAGATTTGGAGAAATTTGGTACTGCAGTACATCACTTGCTTACCAATGAATCCTCTGCAGTTAATGGGTGCCATCAGAATGAGAGTCCAAACAGCTGATAAAAACATTTCAATGATCCACTGATAATCCGCATGACTCAAGTCCATCATGTAACATCTGCGAAGTGAAAAGCTTTTTGTTTGTAAGAAACAAATCCATCATGAAGGCATTTTAACTTAGTCACTGATTCTGGCCAAAATATCCCTGTCCATAATCCATAAAAACACTTTCTCCAGTGAAAAAGTCCATCCACGGTTGTCCTCTCACATCAAAATCCACCAACATATATTTCGTTTTCGACTGTTTTTGCTTGTAAATAGTGTTTGATCTGTGCATATTTCGACAACGTGACTTTTTTTTTTTACTAAAGTCAGCAATATTATGGATAGACAACTCATATTTTTGCCAAAAGCAAGTTTGAAACTAAAAACATCTTAATGGATTTCATACCAACATCCAATTTTTCACTTCAAAAGATGTTAATTGATGTACTGGAGTGGTGTGGATTACTGTGATGTTTTTATCAACTGTTTTGACTCTCATTCTGATGGCACCCATTCACTGCAGAGGGATACACAGGTGAGTAAGTGATATGATACTAAATTTCCATTGCAATGAAAAAAAAAGCACATTTACATCTTGGATGGCCTGATAGTGAGTACATTTTCTGCGACTAACTATTCCTAGCAACAAACTATTCCTTTAAGGAATAAAAGTTTGAAAAATCAAAGTTCTTCGCTTATACACACATCATACACAGATGCTTAATAGCAATAAGAACACATGAGATTTTACGCCGAAATTCAAGCAACATTCTGCACAAGAAAAACGTCGCCTTGATCTTTTTTTCTACAAAATGTCACTGAAGATATATCGAGTGTAGCATTAAGTCTCTAATGATTAAACTTGAGTGTCATTGACAGTCTCTATTGGTCGTGCCTGATGTGACTGTGAATAGGTCTGACTGCGTTGTGCAACGAGTGAATGTGTACTATGTGGCATGACTTCAAAGGGCTAAGCACAATAAAACAAAGATAAGAGGAGAAAAAACAGCAGCAAAAGACTCAAAGCTGTGTGTGTGTTTAACTGAAGAGGCAGCTACACCAGCCCAACCAGTGTGTAACAACCTGGCACGTCGCCAGCACAAAGCCCCAGAGCTCTACCTACCCTCCACAGGCACACTCGCACACAAACACAACACAAGCTTCACACAATGGCATGTATTTTACACAGCCATAGTCCTGGGCTACTACAATATTGAAAATTCGTTTTTTTTAATTTTTTGAAAATGTAAAAATGCAGAACGTTTTCTGTGATGGGTAGTGTTAAGAGCAGGGTTAGGGTAAGGGGATGGAAAATAGTTTGTAAAGTATAAACACCATTACACCTATGGAGAGTCCCTGTAAACCACATATACCAACGTGTGTGTTTGTTATGTTTTGTATTTTGGTTTTCAATTTCAAGTTAAGTTTTAGCATTGTTTTGTGTTTAGTTTAGTTCTGTTTTTCCCCTTTGCTTTGATTTTTTTGTTGTAGCATTTAGCGTTGTTGTGTTTTGTTGTTGTATTTTACTTTGATTTTTTTTTGTTTTGATTTTGCTTTTTTTGGGGGGGGGG